ATTTTTTCCCCCAAAGCCCCAGTAGATAGTTGTATGTCATAGCTGCACATCCTTATAGTTGCTGTATGTGGGACGCAGCCTCAGCATGGCCGGAGAAGTGGTGCGTCAGTGCTCGCCCAGGATCCCAACCCGGGCCGCCAGCCGCGGAGTGCGAGCACTTAACCGCTAAGCCACGGGGCCGGCCCATGAGAAGCATATGTTTTAAAAATAATTTTACAATGTTTAAAAAAATGCCACTTCATAATACTATTTTATATCTAATGCGAATTAATTTCTAGTGCCATTTTAAACATTTACCCACAACCCAATATATGGGAATGAGACTGCGATCTTGTTACCAAGATTCTCCCAATTAAACTAGTTTAAGAATATAAACTAATGAGGTTGGCAAGAGATGAGAGTATTTACATTAAAAAAAATGTAGTTTCAAAAAACACATGTAAATGAAACGTATCTCAGTAATTTTTTATCTTTATAAATACTTTATTCTGTTTCCAGATAGGATATTGAAATTTACATGTTATTTTTTAAGACAACTAATATATAGCTAACTGAAATAGAATATACAAGAAGTTTATCAGATATAAGATACAGATGAGAAAACCTGAAATGTTTTTAACTTAATTTGTCCTATTAGGAACATCAGGACTTGTAGAATTGATATTAGCCTTGTGTATCAATGACATTTTTCCATAACCACTTGTTGACGCTTCCAGAGAGCATACTGTGCTAGCATGTCTAAGCAATCAGTGAATAACCAGGTTTTCCATCTCATCAAAGTACAAAGCATTACTTCAATCCTAGGCCTTCTGACAGAATCCAATATTTGTTTTTGCAAAAGAATACTTTCTTTTTACTAAGTTTTTAAATAAAATCTTATTAAGAAATTATCACATCAGAAAGCAAATACAAGGCATCTTTATTATTAGAAAGGAAATCAATGAAGACTTAAGAAGATAAACATCTAGTACTTAAAAAAAATCTCTCACATTTGGAGCAAGGTAATTCCTACGTTATCTTTTTTCTAAAAAAGACCTTTTCCAGCTTGTTTCCAGACTTCTTTTACTCCTTTAATGCTTTCTTTTTTCACACATTTCCAGTATTCTTGTACACTTAGTTGTTGTGGTACCTGTCAACCAAAAGTAACCAAAAGTAAAAATTAAGGGGTCATTCTCTTTGAAGTTAAACATGATTTCATGTGTACTTTGTTACCGTTTATTTCCCACACTCCTCCAAAAAGGATCTGAGGTGAATTATGTTACAAAAGATGATTGTAACTGAACTGTAAAATAAGAGTAAAAGATAAAAACGTGAGTGTGGTGTAAAAATCTCCTCAGGATAACCAAGTGATGAAGACAGACTGAGTATATGTGAATGGAAGTTCCTCCCTAAGACACTGAAGACTTTGGGCGGTCTTCCACATGTTGCTTTTAAAATGTAATTATTTCACAATGTTTTCATTTTATAATATTTCCCCTTTTCTGGTGAACTTTATTTAGCTATGTGGAATAAAAATTATAAGCCTAAAACTTTGATTTAACCTTGGCTAAAATTAAAAAGAAAGAAACTATAGGTTACAATTTCTTTTTAAGAAAGAAAATAAATAATATAATTCACCTAAGTGATCTGTGAATTAAAAGCACTGTGTGGTTATTATTCCTCTCAACTAAACAAGAAAGTAAAGGTGAGAAAATATTTGGATCCTGGTGACCACAGGAGCAGAGCATTGCTGGAAATCCATCAAATGGAAGCAAAAGTCTATTTTAGATTATATATATGTTCTTTTTTCTATCATTGCTTTACAGCACTTTAATGTTTTTTGAGAAATGACAAAGAGGCTCCTGGGTATATTAAATTGTTAACTGCAAAAATTGGTTTAATATACAGGAATATGATTATTAACTATGAGGTGTTAAGATAGCTATAAAGCTTATAAAACATGATTACTAATGGAAATCATATTTGTTCATTTTCCATAAATAATGTTGGTAGCAGGAAAATGAATTTGCTTTTCTAAGTTGCAAATAAGTAGCGTCGTTTTTATGAACCCACCACATTCTCTCTCTCATTCTCCCTCCTTCTTTTCTTCTGGCTTTACTACCTATTGATGTAGTTCTCTTTGGACCCCTGTTTTCAACCTGCAGACTGTTTTCATGAGAGTGCTTCTAGCAGATTCTCATCTAAACAAAATTTTGAGTTTGATTTGTCCCACAGTTACAGACCAACATGCGAATTTGAGTGAATAATTATAATAGCTAACATTTACTTTAAATGTCTCAGACACTATAGTAAGTATTTTACACTTAATTCCCACAATAATTCTTTCTGGTAGATTCTATTAGTTTCCTCATTGTACAGGTGAAGAATCCGAGGCTCAGAAAAATTAAGGGGCTTCGCAAGATTCCGCAGTTAATAAATGATAGAGTGGGATTTGAATCTAGATGTGTCTAACTACAGAGCCCCAAGTAAAATTCCAGGCTATGATTTCTGAATAGTGATTTCTGATTAGATTCAGGTTTAAAAAAAAAAGGCAAAGAAAAATGTTAGATCTCATCTGTAGGAGATAGTTCAGTGTTAAATTGTGGCTTATAATCTCTTTATAAAAACAATGAAAACTCCATTTAAGACTATATATTTGCTCAAATTCTAGGTTTAATACCACTCATTTAATTACATGTAAACATGCAGTTATTTAAAAACTCAAAAACTGTTACCCATAAGCCTCGATGCATCCTGTTTTTTAACACCCCAAGAAACTCTTCATGACTAAGACATTCATCACCATCCAAATCAAAGATCTTGAAGACAGTGTCCAAAATGTTGTTCGAGAGCTCCTGTCCTGTTGCTACTTTCACAGCTCTCTTAAACTCCGCTGAAAAAAGAAAACATAAAACAACTCATCAACCACGTGGAAGAGTCTAAGTGGAATTAATCTAAATTTTCATTATTTGAAAAGTAAAGAAAAAAAAATGCTCATCAAGAATATATTCAAATAAATTTGGCTGAGAAATGTCATGCAAGGAACTGCAAGATAAATAGCCTATTTTAATTTAATCAGTGTTTTAAACACAAATATTTAAATATTTTCTTCTTTTCTGGGGAAAAATAAGAAAGTAAAAGCAAATAAAGTAATTGTTAAATGTGAGTGTTGGTGTTGTAACTCTAGAATAACCATACTGAATTAATTAACAGGCCAATCAATCGTTTTACTGATAACTTGCTCTTGATTGGTATCACTTAGTTGAAGAATAGAGTGATACTGTTTATAGACGATAAATGATTCATAGAACTTACCAAGTCTGACGGGACGATGAGCTAAACTAAACATTTGCATGGCAATAGCAAAGTCTTCCAAATGGGTCATAAAATGACAAAATGACTTGAACTCATCCAAACTAATGCTCTAATAAAAGAACAAAAGTGAGTTTTTATTACAATTTTGTAAATACATTAAAATAATCTTATGAATTTAAGTGTGAGTCCTCTTTTCTATCATAAAGCTTATGAACATGTATCTTTCTAAGCAAGTCTATTAAAAAGTTTGAGATGCAGAATGACAGAATTATAGATTTCAGAGATTAAGAGAACCCCAAGAGATTAACTGGCAGGGCTGTTGTGTATGACTGTGCAGACTGGACACTGTGTGAATGGGGGTCTCCTGGAGTTGTGCAGTGCAAGACCTGAGGTGGCCCTGTGTTAGAGACCGAATAGTGTTCCTCAAAATTCCTATGCTGAAACCCTAATTCTCAATGTGACTGTGTTGGAAGACAGGGCCTTCAGGGAGGGAACTGAGGCTAAATGGGGTCTTAAAGGCGGGGCTGTAATCCGATAGGGCTGGTGTCTGGATAAGAAGAGGAAAAGACACCAGAGTTCTCTCTCATTCTGCGTGTGAGCACAGAGAAAAGACCATGTGAGGACACAGTGAGAAGGCAGTAGTCTGCAGGGTGGGAGGAAAGATCCGACCAGAAATCAACCCTGTTGGCACCCTGATCTTGCATTTCCAAGCTCCAGAACTGTGAGAAAATAAATTTGTTGTTTAAGCCACCTAGGCTGTTGTATTTTGTTATAGCATCCTGAGGAGACTAATATATTCTGTTAAGTCCTTGCTTTTCTGCTTTGTTTTACCAGTAGACAGAGCACTGAGTAAGAGTACTGGGTTTTGGAGTTAGATGGGCCTATGCTGAAATTCCAGTTCTGTCATTCATTGTGTATATGGTCTTAGCCTCTCTAAGCCTTAGAGATTAAGTAATTTGTCTAAGGTCTACCAAATGGAACAATCAGGATTTGAACCTTGGTCCACCTGACTTCAAAACCTATGCACTGGGCTGGCCCTGTGGCTTAGCGGTTAAGTGCGTGTGCTCCGCTGCTGGCGGCCCGGGTTCGGATCCCGGGCGCGCACCGACACACCGCTTCTCTGGCCATGCTGAGGCCGCGTCCCACATATAGCAGCTAGAAGGATATGCAACTATGACATACAGCTATCTACTGGGGCTTTGGGGATAAAAAGGAGGAGGAATGGCAGTAGATGTTAGCTTACAGCCAGTCTTCCTCAGCAAAAAGAGGAGGATTAGCATGGATGTTAGCTCAGGGCTGATCTTCCTCACAAAACAAAACAAAAAACAAACAAAAAAAACAAACCTATGCACTGAAAAACTAAACAAGCAAAAATTAAGCTAAAAAAACTAGTTTTTCCATTGAAAAAGTAAACAAAGTATGAAAATTCTTAATTTGAAAGTAAATTCTTCCCTGCCTGAAAAAAAGTTTCTCTTTGTAGGAAACTTCAGGATCATGCTCTCTGCATACGTGTCATCTTATTCAAGTTTCACTGCTTTCAACTTTTGTGAATTTATGGAATTCTTATTTTTAAAATTTTAAGTTTTTGAAGAGGTAATATATACACGTGGTAAAAAACAATTCTAACAGCACAATGGATAAAAAATGAAAAGTTTTCTTTTCTCTTTTGACCTCCAGTTCTGTTCCCCAGAGGTAAAGCACTGTTATCAATTCCTGGTGTATCCTTCCAGAAATATTCTACTCATAAAAGCACACACACACACCCACCCACACATCCTTGTTTTACACAGTGGGAGCATCCTCATCACACGTTTCTATACCTTGCTTTATGCTCTTAACAACAGATCTTTTCAGCACAAATAAGAGAATGGCCATTTCTCTACATCAAGATCTCAAAGCAGGCACTGGGTGCAAGTTTTGCTTTGCTGATGGGTGAAAAATGGTATCAATGTTTGAATCTGTATATCTTTAATTGTGAATGAAGTTAAACACTTTTCACTTTTATGTTTATCAGTCATTTATGGATTTCTCTTCTTGTGTCTTTATGTCGTTTGACCAGATTTTTAATGGGTTGTTAGGTGACTTATTGCTGGAGACAGTTCTCCATGGGTCTTTCATGTTTCTGCACATCTTGCAAACAGAGGCACCAACTACCTTTTTGTTCCATACTATCTTTCCAAGGATGTTTGCATAGTGAACAGCCTTGAATACAGACAGTGTCTCCCTCGGGAGCAGAACACAGCTTTGCTTACTGCCTGTTATAAAAGATTCAGGTTCCCCAAGATGAGGTTCCTCAGCTGTGGTGCAAATCCACCGCATGGGCAGCATCCACCAGGACCCCTCAGTAGCGTGCCCACGGGACTCGGGAGGCAAGGGGGAACTGACACAAACATGATGCTCATGCTGTTGCTATGCTATGAATAATAAAGGTCTTTGTCTCTGACCCAGCATCCATGAAATGGTAAAGGCTAACTTGAAAATAAAATTTCAGACACTTTACAGTTATTAACACATTTATTTTTAAGATTCTATTAAATACTAAATAGGGTAAAATGTCAGATCCTTGAAAGTTCTTGATTTTTTAAGATCCCATTATAAATTAAAGAAGTTGGTCTATTAGATGTGATGCCAATGTTTCCCATTTTGTTAATTTTTTCTTTTGACTTTGATTATAATTTTGGGGGGGATGAGGGGCAGGCAACAGAATTTTACTTTTTAGGTGGTAATTTCATCAATTTTCCTTGAAAGCTTCCGGGTTTTGCTTAGAAAGATATGTATACCCACCATCTTTCTAAGATGACTGATTCCTAGATTTCTTCTGTACTTATTCAGTTCAATTTTTTTTTAACATTTAATTCTTTGATCCATCTGGAATTTATTTTACAGTAATGAGTGAGGTAGAGATTTACCTTCATTTTCTCCCTCAGGTGGCCAGTGAATTATCCTAATGCCATTTATTAATAATTCTTCTTTTACCCAACTAATCTGCAATATGAGTTTACATATACTAAATTTCCATGTGTATCTGGGTTTACTTTTGGACTTTATATTCTGTTCAATTGATATGTCTGTTAAATTCATTGTCAGTAATAAACTGTTTTAGTTACCAATGTTTGATGATACATTTTAATATCTTGGCATTCTTCTTTTTTTGTTTTTTTGGTAAGGAAGATGGTCCCTGAGCTAACATCTGTGCCAGTCTTCCTCTATTTTGTATGTGGGATGCTGCCACAGCATGGCTTGATGAGTGGTGCATAGGTCCACGCCTGGGATCTGAACCTGTGAACCCTGGGCCACCAAAGCGGAGTGTATAAACTTAACCACTATGCCACTGGGCTGGCCCCCCTTTTTTTTTTAAAGACATTTTTTCAGAGCAATCCTAGGTTCACAGCAAAATTGAGGGGACGGTACAGAGATTTCCTGTAAACCTCTTGCCCCTTCACCATTCTTTTCATATAAACTTTTATGGCTTGTCTAGTTCCCTCTGGAGAGTCCAATGACATTTTTATTGAAACCCATTAGTGTTCACCAATATCTGGTTCTCTTCTGATTCCTGCACATATGAAAGATTATACTTCTTCGCTTCCTTGCAGTTAGGTGGGGTCATGTGATTAGTCTGGCCAGTGGCCAAGTGTGATGTTTCCAGGCCAAAACATTTAATTGCTGGAATGTGACTCACTCCTTCCTTTTCCTGCCACAGCCTCTGAGGGTGGTGTTTTTTCCAGATAGTGGAGCTCCAAGATGACAGAGCCTTGGAGAGTCTGGATCCCTGAGCAACTATATGGGCAGAACCTCCCACCAGCCCACAATGGAAATGCAGCATGATGGAGGGAAAAAACCTTTCTTGGGTTTGCTATGGGATTTCAGGGTTAATTTGTAATTGCAGGAAACCTAGGCTGTTCTGACTAATATAACCATTACATTTATAGACTAATTTAAGGGAGAACTGCCATATTTATAACACTAAGACTTCCTATTCAATAATAGGGAATGTCACTATAATTAGATAAATTTTCTTTGATGTCCATCAAGACTGTAAAGTTTTTTTCATGTATTTCTTGTTAAATTTATTTCTAATTGGTATATATATTTCTATTGCAATTATAAATGGAATCTTCATTATATTTTATTATCTTTTTCCTCACTATAGAAATAGCTTTTAAAAAAATTATATAAAAATAACATGCGCATTCCAAAAAAATGTTTTGGAACAATAAAGTAAAAATAATACATAAAGTAAAAATCACTTGAAATCTCACCACAGTATATTAATCATTTGGCAATCATCATTTCATGCACCTCATATATATATACACACACATGCACATATACACACACACACGCCATTACATTTTCTAACTTGCAATTTGTACATATGATAGCTACTTCTAATATATTAGCATTGTAACAGGCATTTGATTTAATTTTTCTTGTTTCTAATGATTTTTTAATTTGATTCTCTTGAGTTCTCTAGGCTTATAATCATATCTATGCAAACAAAGACAACTGTCATCTCCTTTCAAATTTTTATACTCTTTTATCTTGTTAATTTGCACTGGCTAAGATTTCCAGAACAATAGCAAGTAATAGCAGTGACAGTGGACACTCTTGTCTTATTCTTGACTTTACTGGAAATGTAAAACTTGTGTTTGCTATACCGATTCTATCTTAGGCAATAGTTCATTCATAAGAAAATAGTATGTGGAGAACATTTCTCAACTTGATTTTATACTTAAATAATAGAGAGTAGCATAGTCTTGGTTAATTTGGAAATTAATTATATAAATGTTTAATTATTTCATCTTTATCACAAGCATAATAAAAAGGCATACCAACCTCTCCTGCTGACAACTTCTCTCTCACATTTTTCCAATAAATGTCTTTATTTTCAGTGTTAGTGAAAAAAAGTAGCCACTCTGCAAAGTCTTCTTTTCTCATGAAACTCAAACCTTTAGAGAATTGAAGGAATTCCATTTCTTGGACCTCTGCTTGTAAATTTTCCATAAATCTAAATGTTAAAATACAAAATAGGTATAAATGGCATTCAACCTTAATATTGTAAATGGGATTTCAAAGCCCCTTCAGCATTACCTACTGAGTGGCTGGCCTCTTGATATGGTGAGTCAAATGAAGCATTAGTGCTGCACAAAGGGTTGTGGGGAGTGGGAGGAGGCAGAGAAGCTGATTCAGTCCAACAGTTGCTTCAATCTGTGACTCCCTATACTCAATTTGTGCAAATTATACTTGGCAATCTACATTCTGGTAAACTTAAAGACTTAAACAATTATGTTAAATGTTGCTTTGATACATCCATAGCAATTTTTTTCCAATATAGTAAAATTATCAATAATCAAGGAAACTTAAAATTCAGTTGGGATACTGCTTTTAGAGTGTTAATCATAATTAATGGCTCTGAATATATATATATATATTTTTTAAATTTTATTTATTTTATTTTTTTCCCCCAAAACCCCAGTAGACAGTTGTATGTCATAGCTGCACATCCTTCTAGTTGCTGCACGTGGGACGTGGCCTCAGCATGGCCGGAGTAGCGGTGCATCGGTGCGCGCCCAGGATCCGAACCTAGGCCGCCAGCAGCGGAGCGTGTGCACTTAACTGCTAAGCCACGGGGCCGGCCCTACGAATATTTTTCAGATACCAAAGTTGATCAGTGTAATCAATGGCTTTGCATCAAAAGCTTATATCTACTCAAAAATATTTATAATATTTTGGACAATAACATGTCTATATGACACAATGTTCTTTTTTAATAAAAACAACACAACACTTTGATCAAACTGTCATCAACAGCTTCCTGGGAAAGGTACAAGTTGAAAGGATATCAGATTAAAAAAATATTTTCTTTGAACAAGAATTAAAAAATGCTGCACTTGATTTATTTATAACCTAAATCAGGTGAAAAGTATTATTATCTCCATGAATTTTAATATGTTGCAGATCCCTTTATTCACCTTTCCATATGTTAAAAGATCTGTACTATCTGTCATGTCACAATTTAATGGAAATATACAAGGGGTGAAAAACAGATACATTCTAGCTTAATGGGAGAAAAACTGCCACTGTTAAAAAACTACTTGCTTTAGATTCTACATTTATCCCACAAACCTTAAATGCATGAAGGAAGAGTTTGCTTTTCAGCTTCTATCTATGTGGGAGGTAAGCGTCTGTTACCTACATTTTCTGAATGTACTGGATACAAAGATTTATCAATAACATGTGTCTTTCTGGGTCAAAGCAGAATTTTATCTAAAATTTGAAGCATTTCAAGTTGGACTGATAGATCAACAAAATCTTCTATTAATATGCTTTGTCCTTTGTTTTATTGAGTTTTACTGTACTGTAATGACAATCAATTTATTCTTACTAGGATTGTTAAAAGAATGCTTTCCTTGCAAATGAGTCTAGTGAATTAGTGAAGTAGAAAATGTGGTATAAAAACATTACTAACTTATTCCTTTCCTTTTTCTTTTTCTTCAGGCTCTGAGGCTGAAATACTATGAACTTAATTGCTGTTAAACTAGACAGATTTTCCTTGACTTACAATAGGGTTATGTCCCGATAAATCCATCGTAAGTTGAAAATATCATAAGTTCAAAATGCATTTAATACACCTAACCTATGGAACATCATAGCTTAGTATAGCCTACCTAAATGTACTTAGAATACTTACATTAGCAAAATCATCTAACACAAAGCCTATTTTATAAGACAGTGTTGAATATCTCATATAATTTATTGAATACTGTACCGAAAGTGAAAAACAGAATGGTTGTCTGGGTTACAAAAGGTTGTAAGTGCATCGGTTATTGACCCTCGTGATCGAGTGGCTGCCTGGGAGTTGTGGCTCGCTGCTGCTGCCCAGCATCATGAGAGAGGATTGTATTGCATATCGCCAGCCGGGAAAAGATCAAAATTCAAAATTCGAAGCACAGTTTCCATTGAACACGTATTACTTCAGCACCATCATAAAGCCAAAAAATTGTGTTGAAGGGACCGTCTGTACATTGTCTGGTTTAAGCTACTCTCATCTTAACTAATTACACTACTTTTGAAGAACATAAGTATATTTTATGATGATAATCTTTTCTAAGTCTAAAATTATAGATCTTGTTATGACATGAAAATCTGGAACATGATACCGGACATAAATACATGAATTAAAGAATTTACAGTACATAAGGCCACCAGAGGCATTCTGAACAAATTAAATAGTTTAAAAATTAGTGGATTAATTGGAAACAATGGGAAAAATCTGCTTTTCCTTATCTGGGGTTTTTTAAACTTTTTTTTTTTTTTATAATTTTATTTATTTATTTTTCCCCCAAAGCCCCAGTAGATAGTTGTATGCCATAGCTGCACATCCTTCCAGTCACTGTACGTGGGACATGGCCTCAGCATGGCTGTAGAAGCGGCGCGTCGCTGCGCGCCCGGGATCCAAACCCGAGCTGCCAGCAGCGGAGTGCGCGCACTTAACCGCTAAGCCACAGGGCCGGCCCTGGGGTTTTTTAGGTTATGGTGCATCAGAGCTGCTCAGACCAGCTGTGAGAGTGCATCCTGCACACGTCTTCCCACCTCTACTTCATGTCCGGCAGCTTGAAATTGGCTTGGCAGAGTATTTACACTACTAATTGGCAAGTGCTACAAATCAAGGCTGTTCTTGAGAGTTGATCATTAAATATATTTACCAGCACACTACTGCTTACAGACATCTTTGAATTTATAAAAACTTCATGAATTGAGAACATTCTCAGCTAATAATTGGTATTTCAGAATTTAAAAAAATTCTAGTCCTAAAAACTACATCAGTAGCAATATCATTCTAATTTTTCCTGATGAGAAAAGTTGAGACTAATTTTATTTCCTTTATAACTATTTCTCTAACATATCTTAAATCACAGAATTATTTTCAGTTTTAAAAATTTATTGGTATAAAAAATGAGGTCAGGGGCCGGCCCAGTGGCATAGTGGTTAAGTTCATGTGCTTTGCTTTGGCGGCCTGGGGTTCACGGGTTCGGATCCTGGGCGCAGACCTGCGCACCACTTATCAAGCCATGCTGTGGCAGGTGCCCCACGCATAATGTAGAGGAAGATGGGCACGGGTGTTAGCCCAGGGTCAGTCTTCCTCAGCAAAAAGAGTATGATTGGCAACCGATGTTAGCCAAGGGCTAATCTTCCTCACCAAAAAAGAATAAAAGGTCAAATGTACCATACTGGAAATAAACCCAAGGGATTATTTCTGGTCACTATTTTTAAGGCTAACCCTTAGAGTTTAAAAGAAATGCAAAAGAAAAGGCCCCAAATAAAGTAGGAGAGAAGAGGAAAAAAGAGACAAGAAAGACATAATAAAACAAAGAGGCGTTGACATAGAGTGGGTAAATGCCATCAACAGCAGCCCAAGTAGCCTCGGCATGAATGTTTTTTTTCTTGAACTATATGTATGCTGATAAAGAACTGAATTTTCACAATTAAATTACCTGTTGATTTCATAACAAGGAATAAACACCAAAATTCCAGGAGAAAGAACTTAAATTATACTTTAGTTTTTATTTAAATGGCTAAGCAGTATTTCAGTTGGAAATCTTTTGACTAGTTGTAAAAGTAAAAAAACAAACAAACCACAAATTTACCCACATGCTCCCTCAATAACTGATGTTTCTCTTGACACGTGGTAGTATCTACTTAATGTCTGTCCCTCTGGTTACCTGATCTAGTACTATTTCCTTGAAAGCTCATTCAATGCACCAAACCACCTGCCAGGGAACTGTGGGACTAACTCTTTCAGAAACTTTGTGACCACTTAAAACCTTTTAAGACAAACCTGGGTCTGAATATCACCTCTTCAGTTTCTAAGGTATATGACCCTGGACCAAGCCCCTTAATCTCATAAAGTCCCAGTGATAAAAAGGGAAGACTATCTACCTCACTTTGTAAGGATAGGTGAAATAATATATGTAGAATACTTAGACAAATGCCAGGCACACAGTAAGTACTCAACAGACAGTAGCTGTGATGGCACCAAGGATGGATGTAACTATCTTTTCCTATTCAACCTTACTCAAGCCCAGACTCTACTCTTAGTTGCTGTGACTGCTCTCTTGACCATATCTTCAGCTCCCTTGGGCTGCTGAAGGCCTTCTTCAGGTGCAACTTGAAGAAAACCATACAATAACTACACATAGTGGTACCAGCATAAATTCACAGTCCACATCTTCAGTTGTGTTCTCAACTCTTCCAGACACCATTCTGCTAGCTTAGAAAGCTCTCCTTGGGCCGGCCCCGTGGCTTAGCGGTTGGGTACATGTGCTCCGCTGCTGGCAGCCCGTGTTTGGATCCCGGGCATGCACCGACGCACCGCTTGTCCGGCCATGCTGAGGCCGCGTCCCACATGCAGCGACTGGAAGGATGTGCAGCTATGACATACAACTACCTACTGGGGCTTTGGGGGGAAAAAAAAGAAAGCTCTCCTTTTTATTTTACACAGTGGCTGTAACTCCTTTACACTCTACAAATCTATCCCACTGGTTTTCTATTTGTCCTCAGCAGATGATCTTGCTCCAACTTAGGAAAACTAGAAATCATTATTTAAGAAATTCTCTCATTTTCTTGCTATCACTCCAGAAATGTAACAGCACCCAGGAAAAGGGAGTCCCTTTTCTTATTGATGGCTAATTTACCTACCTATACTCTGAATTCCATCTATATTCCTGTATTCCCTCCTTTTCAGGGAACTTGTTCCTGATTATTCCCATTTACTTCTGTATTCAGTCTTTTCCTCTTTACATCATCATTTAAACATGTGGGGAAAAACTTTCTTACACTCTCCTCCTGCTATTGTCCCCTCTCTCTTCCTTTTTTGTAGTCAATCTTCTTGAAAGAGTTACCTGTATTTCTTTTTCTACTCACCCCTTACTCACTCCTCAGCCCGCTGCAATCTGGCTTCTGCTCCCACCGACAATGTTTAAGCTACATTCGTTCTTTTCTTGCCTC